GCTTCCTTTGCAGGAATAGAGTGTCGTGCAACGACAGCTAGATGCAATGGAGAAGCACCGAACGTATCACGAGCCATGAGACTTGCTCCATGGGAAAGAAGAGCACTCACTGCAGCCCCATCATTCGCTCGAAGAGCCACGTGCAGTGGCGTTTCCTGCGTGGTTCTAGAGACGCAGCTCACGTCCGCTTCGTGCTTCAGTAGGAGGTGCGTGCACTCGATGTGCTTGCTCTTGACAGCTTCAAATAACGCCGGCTCCAGCAGCGTCTTCGTACCGCAGCTACCCGTACAAGGTGGGTGCGCTTCACGACTAATCGCTGGCTCTCCACTCGCTCGCGCAATAGCGTCTGTGATCGCAAACTCCTTGCAGGTTGCGCATCGTACGGGAGACAAGTTGGCATTTGCTTCGTGTTCAAGCAACAGTTGAACAGTTGGCGCATCTCCAGACTCCACCGCAAAGTGTAGCGCTGTCTTGAAGCTTCCAAGATGCACGAAATTAACCAGCGATTTTTCCTTGTCACCGGGGTTCATCGAAAACAACTCGGGGCGCTTCTCCAGTAGGAGATGCATGAGGCTGTTAGCCGACTTGCTAGCACAGCCATAGAATTTCATCCACGGGTTCGTTGGCTCGCTCGTGAGTTTCCGTCTCGCTATCATATGCAACGCCGTCTCGTACTGCACCATAATCTTGGGTTTGTTGTCTCCCTTAGCGGTCGAGTCAGGTGCGTCTTGAGGAGCTGAAGCTGAGGCGACATTACCATCGTCGCTATCGTCGTCATCACTGTTGTCGCCATCTGATTCACCCTCGTCGTCACCATCATCAGAGCCAGCCGAGACGATCATTGGGTTATTGATAACACCACCATTACTTGGGACAGCGCCACCAGAGCCATCATTCTCATTCGTGCTTGAGATGTCTGTGAGATCACGTAGACGTGAAGCATCCTCACAGCGCACAAAGGATTCGCGAGCAACCGACTTGTCCGCATAAATCGCAAACAGCTCAGTAAGTCGAGCGTCGATGTCACGCATACTCTGCAGCTTGTCTGGATCGATCTGGTTCGTTGCGAGCGGTACACTGCGCTCGTGACTCGGATCCAGTAGCCGCATTACAGGGGTGTATCCGTCAACGTCCTTCTTGCACATCATGTCAGACGTTGTGGCGCACTTTTCCGCGCACTTACGAATTAGTTCGGGCGTGGCTACGAGCTTGGCTGCCTCCTGGATTAGCCACCACGTGAAGAAGTTCTCACGCTCCGGTCTCGATCTTCTGCCAATTTCAATGGACAGTCACGTTTTTGTCGTGATGCTCAGTATTCGACAAGTACAGTCTCAAGACAGCCCCACGCTGCTGCGTCATCAAGCGTCCGATCCATTCGGAGGTCTCTCATCAGGAGTGCACACCGGTCTGGCTCAACAAAAGCTTCTACAATCTCGGTCTGACTGCCCACCATCGCCAACTGAAGTGGCTGCAACATCATTGGCGTCTTCTCCTCTTCCTTGGCATCTTCTTTATAAAGCTCGTACTGCGGCTGAGCACCATGTCGAAGCAACAGACTAACCGCATCCAAAAAGAACTTGGATAGTTCCTGGTTGCTACTGCTTGTATTGCCGTTTTCTGTCTTTGGGGCTTCGTCACATGCTCGCTTGATCAGCCGTTGCAGCGGGTATTCGCCTTCCGAGTCGCTTATGTTTGCGTTGAGTCCCTTGTCTAGTAGATAGCTCAGCTGGTCGAGACTGTGCGAGTGCTGACACTGCAAGAACAGCATCGTACGCCCTTGACGGTCTCTGAAATCTAGATACTTCTGCTGCGCCTCGCCGCTTACTTGAGCCAGAATGAGCTCAGCACAAGCGCGATGCTGTTTCAGTAGTGCACAGGCAAGCGGCACAAAGCCCCACGCATTCGGAGCCCACAATTCAGCACCGACATCACACAACAGCTGAAGACACGAAGGCCACCCGTAGCTCGCAGCATAGTGAGCCACACTGTTCTCTGAGGTATCATAAGCATTGACGTTGGCGCCTCCATTGATGAGCGCAGCAGCCACCTGTGTGTGGCCATTTTTCACCGCTAGTATCAACGGCGTCTTCTTGAGTTTATCTCCCAGATCCACACGCGCTCCGTTGGACAACAAGACGCGTACAGACTCCAAATGACCATTCTGCGCCGCAAATGTTAACGGCGTGGACTTATTCGATCCTCCACTTACAGCATTCACCTCTGCAGCACCTCCACACTCGGTTAGAAGGTATTCCAACACCTTGGCACATCCGTGTCGTGCTGCAAAGTGGATTGCCTGCTTGCCTCCTGGTCCTTTCTCACGAACAAGTTTGTCAGCGACTTCTCGGCCGCCTCCGCCGCTCTCTCCGGGCGTGGCAGCGAACTTGAGTAACGCGAGTGCCGTCTCCTCGCGTCCTGCTTCCAGAGCACACATCAACGGCGTTAAACGTGTCTTCGTACGTCCGAACAAGCCGCAGCGTTTGTCCATAAGAAACTTCATTGGCTCAGGAGATTCGCATCCTGCCGCGTAGTGGATGGGTTCGTACCCTTGGTCGTCTTTAATCGCACTGAACTCGTCACCTGCAACAGCCCAGAGCTCCTCGAGATACTTGGTGTTCGGGTTAATAGCAGCAAGATGCAACGGTCGCAGTCGCGTCTGATGCGCTTGTTTAATAGCCGAAACAGCTCGAAATGGAGGCAACAATGTCGCATCTCCATCCGCCAAGCCATCACCGAGCACTTTATGGTGCAGCTCATTGAATCCCCAGCCTCCATTCTTCTCCAGAGTCTCCACAACTTTACGTACAAGTCGATAGTTGCCACAGCGTGCCAAGTGACACACATTGTTCCCCACGACGTAGCCATTCGTCCACTCCCCAGTCGGGTACAGCAGCGTAAGCATCTCGACGCTAGCGTTCGGACTACGCCATAGATAGTCCAATGCCAAGTTCGCAGCACGAGGAGCGTAGCTGTCTTCAAGCAGCGCGTTGTTGCCTTCCTTCCCTCCTCGACTGGCGTTGATAGCACGTCGATGGTAGTCACTGAAGCGACTTGTGTGCTGCCCAGTCGAGTGTGAAGGCAGAGCCACTTCTGGAGCAGCTGCAAGCTTCTCCTTGTCCACCTTCTCGTCCGTTTGACGTAATAGAGAGGCTGCTGCTAGGTCGTCGTTGTCGATAGCATAGTGGAGTGCAGTACGACTGACGTCGGTGCTGCGCGGAGCGTCGAACGTGCTGAGCTCTGCGTGCACGTCGGTGTCGGTCGTGAGTTTCTGGAGCAGCTTGATGTTCTTGGTCAGCACAGCGCGTACGACCTCACGATTGGCCGAAAAGACGTCTCCATTGAAGGACTCAAAGGGCTGTGAGCCAAGCAGCTCTCGGTCTTGGTACTTGGCCTCGTCCACTGTCGTTCGCAGCGGAGAGATGTGCATCGCCATCTCTCGTTTGCTGAGCTTCTGGCTCTTGCCTTTGCCTCGTCCTGTGGACGTCTTGACGTCGTCCTCTCCAGCTCGACGCAGAGAAGGAGGAGGACGTTCGTTGTCTTCTTCTTCGTTCTCGTCCTCCGGTACGTCCTCACCCGCCAGTTTGGCCTTAGTACGCGTCAGACAACGTTGCACTCTTGCCAGCGACTTGGGGGTGAGCTCCAACGCCGTGGTGCTCAGATCACGCAGATAGACGTGGCACAAGATGCTGCCAACGTCCACCTGCTCGTCGTACGCGACCTCGTAGCGTCTGTCCGCTGTGCGGTTGAGCCACGTGACGTGGACACTCACGTCCTCCTGAGTGAGCATGTCCTCGGTCACGTCGTCCTGCAGCTGAGCGAGCCAGAACTGGTCTACGTGCTTCGTGTCCTCCGCTGTCTCCATTACCACGTCATTGTCCTCGTTTTTCTTCTCTTTTTCGTCCGTTGGTGCCTTCCGAGCGCGGGTTGAGCGTCTCGTGGGTTTCCTTTGACCCTTCTTGTCCTTAAACTTACGCTTCGGCGCCGCCTGCTCCTCCTCTGGGGCGGCTAACACGGCCACGTAGCTCTGCGCAGCTAGCGCCACCTCCCAATCCGCCTCCTGCCACTTGCGCTTGCCGACCATGACGTTGATCTGAGTTTGAAACGCTGGTTGCAGTTGGCTTATCCGCGCAGATTTCGAAGTCCAAGTGGGTACACTTTTGGAAAGGAGTTGGGTTGAAGGATTTGTATGTCAATTCCACTTGCCACATGGAATCGTACTTAAGGTAGGAGCACAACAAAATTTAGACTACAGCTATTAAAAACAGTTTTTATAGTGCTAACCTGCGCATTTGTATTGTGGTTTTCAAAACTTGTATTTTAGTATATAATTTGCTAGAATACATGTTTTGTGGCTTTCATCCATGTTTTCTATTTTCTATTTCGGAGGCGTTCAGCAAATACGATCCAATATTTTGTCAAAATGGATGAAAACCACAATTCACGTACCGTAGTATCGGTGTCAAGTGTCCTCTCTTGTCAAGTGTCACCCCCTTTATTGACCAATCACAGCCGTAAATTGGACCTTGGCCAAGTAGGATTTGCAGTGTTTTGTCAAGTGTTACCCCCCCCCTGTTCCTTGAAGCCAGTGCGGCATAACCAGAACTACCGCAGAGCAGCGAAGGGACCAAGCGATCAAGCACCAAAATGCGGGTGCCATGGCAACGTGGCTTCTCGCCGACAGCACCGGTGTCAAGTACGATCCGTGGGCTGTGCTTAATTAAAAATCGTCTCGAGACGAAACAAAACATGAGGAAAATGTGCGTTTGCGCCATGGATCTAGCAAGGGCATGTGAAAAATGATGGAATCGCTACAAAATGAGACTAAGACTACTATCTACGCGAATCCGAGCGGGTGGTGGAAGGCTGAACTATTGCAGCAATTTTTGCAGCTTGTTTGTGAGCGTAGCTCAGCTGATGAGCCTGTGATGCTGATGTGGGACGACTTCAGTGCGCATTGGACGTCTGAACTCGTTGCATTTGCTCTTGAGAAAAATGTCGTTCTGCAACGCATTCCCCCTGGATATACGCACTACTGTCAACCAGTAGACATCGCATGGAATAAGATCCTTAAGGACCGGATTAGAGCGTCGTGGACATCGTATCTAAAGGAGCAGTGCTCAAAGGTTATGGTAGATTGTGCAGAGGGCAATTCAAAGTTGACACCACCAGATAGAAAGCGAGTACTGCAGTGGCTACATGCACATTGGAATGAGCTCAGTGTGACGACGATCAAAGACTGATATAAGCACTTGAATCTTTTCTTCGACGAGCGCACGCATAAAACAACCGAACAATTGGAGATCAACGAAATTAACGAACAGCTGGCTACCGCTTTAAAGGCTTTATCGTGGCTTGATGACTGTGTAGGAGAAGTTTCCTGAGACGACGACGTCGTAGATACTGAAGATACATTTACAGAGATTAGAGCTAGCTACAACAACACAATTTTTGATTCATCCATTACCAGCACCTTGGGCTTATCCTGATCATTAGATTTGTCGGTGCAAGGGGGGTAACACTTGACACCGATACTACGATACGTGTATTGTGCTTTGCAGGAGGACGCCTATAAACTCCACAGATTATGGTGGTAATCTACAGCGATGGGGTTATTCCACAGATGTGCAAACGTTGTCCACAACGTCTTGTAAAAATAAACAGTTCAGTAAATACATCCACAGCAGGACAAATCAATCCACCAGATGTCGGATCCTTAGCTATATCTAGCTTAGGCCAATCACAGCTTGAATATGTGTCACAGCGTGATTGGTTATAAATTGACGAAGACCTAGTGCCCCCCCCCAATCATCGTCCAACAATAAACCTCTTGCAGCTACCACACATTCTACATGCTGAGCGAACCCCTTACGCGTTCTGCTCTTTCAAACCATAGTTGATTGCCCTCCTACAGAACTCGTGTGCCTCAACGGCCTGTGGACCGTACACTCTCCCTTGCGTTGGTTTGACATTTGCATTTGTAGCAGTAGCGGTTTGGCGAACAATTTCGAGATTGGTTCCCATGAAGTGAGAGGCAATGAACCGGCCCTATGGGAAAGGTTTCTCAAACAATGTAGCCAACGCAAACTATGCGGGAGCTGGCATTAAAGGCCCGAAGCCCCAAAAAATTCGGAAAGTGCTGTCCGTAGCCCCGCCGAGAAATAATACCGCATCTCGACAGTGCAAAATTTGTGACATATTGCCGCAAGACTGATTTGAACAACACCGACGAGTTGGAAATTGTGGAGAAAATAGTCAAAGGAAAGGCCTACACCGGACTAGAAGACGATAGCACTGTGTTTTCATTTTCGTGTGAGGTGGATTCACGTGGACAGATAGCCATTGGTGACGGTACCAAGAATAACGCATTTATATCGGTTTTACAACGAAAACGCTTCTTAAGCGGCTTGATCGTGATCCAAGCAGCTTCATTTTTCATTTCGATGCAACATATAAGTTAAACAAAGTGGATTACCCGGTCTTTGTCTGTGGGATCTCAAATCATGCTCGATGCTTTCACTTAGTTGCCCACTTTGTTGCGTCCCAGCAAGAGGAGCACCGTTACACGCCCGCTCTCGTTTCTCTACGGGCAATCTACGCTCGTGCTCTGTAGAGCCCATGCTAGTACGATGCGCTCTAGGGGATGCGGACGGAGCCCAGAGCAATGCCATAACATCCGTGTTTGAGGATTGCGAGCTGGATGTTTTGATGTGCTTCTATCATGTTATCGCTAAAGTTTACGAAAGATCTAACTACATCCACCCAGGCAAGCGTAGTCTCGTAGTTGCCGACATATTTAATAAGCACTATGCAAAAATTGCCTCGACATTCTATGCTAAGAAGACGTCTGCTGTGCGGTGGTGTCTTGCGGATCCAGATACTGGGCGATTTGGCATTTTTCTCTCATGCAGTGGCTGAATGGTAAATTCGTGAAGTGGCAATGCTATCGTACGCCAATCGGATGAGCAGCTACATACAACCCAGTGGAAACATTCAATGCCAAGTTAAAAAAAAATACGCGCTAAGGGAACATATGCTGATGGGATCTCTGCTTGGCCAACTGCAACTCTGTTGCCGGATGGAAAGTATATCGTCAGTTCAAGTTCAGAATAAACGCAAAGCTAGCGACAGACTTCGATGTCGTGCAACAGCATTGCGTCGCCAGAACCTCCTCGTTGAATCACCGTCTATTGACGTGCTTGACGATTACGTACTAGTCATCTCAAAGGCAACTCCTAGAATTTTCGTAAGACCGAAGAAAAAACTGGGGAAGCTGTGGATGTTGCTGTACGACTCGGAGCAAACGGGGCTAGAATGGAACGTGACGAGCAGCCCGAAGCAGGTTGGCCTGTTGATATGATCAGTCGGAGCTGCTCGTGCAAATACTTTTTCCACAAAGAATATTGTGTTCGCCTTCTCCTCGCTTTATACATGCTCTTCGGCACCGACCAGCCAGGGAAACGGACGTTGCTCAGCCGGAGACGGCATATCAAGAGGAAGTCGTTGGAGGACTAGATCAGGGAAGCTGTTGCAGCAAGTGAGCCAAAACGCAGGCGGACTATTCTCAGCGGATCCGCGCTAGCGTTAGTGTATTATCAGTGGTTTGCACGAGACATTACTGCACGAGCAAGTTCATTAAAAAAATAGACCCGCTTTTGCCTGACGATATGTTGAATATTGTGCAGATGAAGCATCGAGATGTACGATGTACATCGTGTAGCTGTTATTCTTGTAGCCATATAGCTCAATAGCTGTGACAGACGTCTGTAGCAATACTACCGATAACAATTTACGTCTGACAGTCTAGATAGTCTATACGCTTTATATCTCAGCTGCAGTTAAACTCGTTGTTCACTGTACCGTACGTTGAATGGAGATGGCGGTACCGCATTACACTATATTATGTTGTCGCCAGAAGTTTTGTTTTACAGATGACTGCTGTCGGGGACGGGAACAACATCGCCGAGCGTTGTCACGATCATCTCCGCTCGACATATACCTCACTCGTAGAGTAAACGGAGCCTCCTCGTTAGCTTAATGTCTACTCTTTGTGTTAAGACTTTCTCCGCCAGCAAGACTACAATATGATAGTATCAATGCGTCAGATAACACTACTTCAAGTCGGGATATTCATTAGCACCTGGATTTTATCAGAATCAGCACCATCAAGGTGACGGAACTGGTCCGGAGAGAAAACATTTTGTTCTTTCACCTCTAGGCGTGATACCTTGTAGGTAGACGGATTTGCCACGTATTATTGTGAGCCCGCCCCGGTTTCACAATAAGTCGGCGCCGGTTATTGTGAGATGTGCATTGGTGTAGCTTCATGGTAAGGCTTTACCAATGCGAGATCGCCATCTACGATCCGATGTGTTCAAGCTACCTCCAAAGCGTTCGGGATGTTGCCCATACGATTGCACCCTAATTACCAGCAGAGACTAAGTCTTGCTATCAAATATGTCAATACGAGTCTGATATCGGATTTAAGACTGGTAGCTACAGCTGCAGGGTATTTGTAATGGCGACATTTGAAGCGTTTTGCGGCGCGGATGCACCATGTAAAGGCCGCAAACGCCTAATTCAATACCTTAGGTACCGATACCAATGCATGTGCTTTAACATTTGAAGCTTTACTTAAATGAGAAAGTTTACTTCACATTAGTACCTTAGCATCTTTTGGCTTTCATATCTGGTCTTGTTGTGGAACGAAATGCAGCCACTGCCACGTATCCACGCCTCTATGTAAGGAGAATAAAATGGAAGACATGATCATGCCATATACGCTGACGAGACCACCTTGATGTTGACTGTGTAATTCTTAGCTCTCACGGGTGCGTATACGATTTAACTAGTGCGTGGGCCGATTTGATGACAATCCGCTGATGATTCTGGTGATCATCGTGCCGTCCAAAGGCCCCGTGATGGCAACGCGGGGTCTCCCTTGTCGTCCTGGCGGCTATAGGCGGTTTCAGGCAGGAAGCCCGGTAGTAAAATAGCATTTGGCTCTTATGACGCTGCACGTGCTGACGGCGCGACTCGAACTCCTCGCTCAAGTACAGTAGGCAAGGAGCCACAGGCCTTCGGGTATGTACGTGATCCAGGAGAGAGAGACTGAGAAATATAAGTCTGTGCGTGTGAAAGCGTGGACCACGTAAAAAAAGCTTCTTAGTCTGGTTTCCAGCTACCATACAGTACATGCATTCATCAAACGATCAACCTGGTGTCGTCAGTTGTTGTGGAGTGGAGACGCGGTGCTGTGAATTATCCCTCAAAGACCTGAGGATTTTTCATATTTCCTCGCTCTCTCACTGTATCATACAGTACACTACCGGTGCCTATACACAAACATATAGTGTACGTTAGTGTATTGACACGATAGATGGATAAGGCTCCAGCGACGAAACAAGCGAATTTGTTCATACATGTAGAAGTTCGTCAAGTTTTTAATTGATGACCACGCGTGTGTGCAGTTTCGACGACAAGCGATTGAAGATGCTGTTCGCTGTGGCCAGCTGCAATTGGTTAATAATCTACTTGGAGTGCTGCAGGCTGGAGGTGAAAGAGGACTGCAGACGTTGACGCAGAGTAATGACAAGGGAGAAACGCTGCTCCACTCACTAGCAAAGTCGCATAGGTTTCAACGCGCTGGCTCATAAATTTGCGTGATTTCTCGTCGACGCAGGCGTTTGTGTCGACACAAGAGACCGCACAGAGAATCCCGCCTTCCATTACGTGGCAAAGCAAGGCAACACTCGTTTCATGGACTTCTTACATCACCAACGTGGTGGACAAGACACACTCTGGCGCGAAAAGTTCATCTTGGACGTGTAGTGGAGCTGGGAGATACACTCCTGTTCGATCGTCTTTGGGCCGAAACGAAGCCCTCTCCTAATCCGAGTCAATGGGCTGAACGCAACCCCCTGTTGTTTGTTGACATGCAACAATACCTGTCTACTCTTCTTGAAGATCCGAGCTTCACGGTAGGTGCTATGTACACTGTGAGTGACGCGGATCGACCACTATTCGTCCTACAAGACAAACGAGCTGTTACCATTGAGCTAATCGATCGCGATACCTCTCACACGCGTGAAGACCCGTTGACGGATGCATCGTGTGGAGCTACAGCAGGGCCTCCGAAAATGATAGTGTTTTTTATCGGACCCTTACAGCAGGGATAAATCACTGCAATGCTGAATCGTGCGCTTAGAATACATAACGCTCTAGTGCATGTCAAAAAATAAATTACTGCGTTATTGATACAATAACAAACGGACTAGCTGTTATTGAGCAGTAAAGACATACCATCTACAAACGTGTTGCCTCATCTACTGTCTGAGCGTTCCAGTACGTAACATTTTCTCTTAGATAGAGAATCATTTCCAAGGTAATAGGAAGTAAGCCATGTCGCCCTTGGCCAAACGTGGTGCGAGCTACGCTGAAAACCCGCTCGACTACGTTGGAAGTAGCCGGAATCACGTGGAGCAAGTCGTACTTTACATCTTTCTCGGCAAGTTTCTGGAGCTGCTGGACAAAAGAAAATTCTTCCTCGTCGTCATCCTCTCCGCTCTCTGCATGCAAGCTAACCCTTGCAAACGGCGAAAGCGCAGCTTTCTCTGCACGAGTGAGACGGCTCGTATTTCCGCCCAGGACCCGGACGCAACTCGCCTCGAAATCAGAGCTGTGGACGATTTCGGCGCGCGGACCTTTTAAATAAAGCACATTAATCAAAATAAAAGCTAGCAATTATCATAGTAGCAAGAACATCAACAACAACAAGCTTACCGAAGAAGCGAGCGTAGTGGGGCTTGATCGAAACAATCCATCAAGCCAAACACGAGCGTCTAACAGCGTAGCGAGCATACACAGCAATGTAATGCTCTGATGCATGCGATCACCCATCCAGAATTAGCCTAAAGCGTTCCGGCAGCTCGGCCCCGATGATGCGCTCGACAGCGCGCGTCAAGCTGTTCATCCCGGAGGGTGTGACTGTCGTATTCGTGGATTCAGAGTGGCGCTTGGTCACACTTTCGCTCTTGGCGATGCCAAACCCGCACGGCTACGCGGCTGGTACTGTTGCTGATCTTATTAAAGCACGAATGCAAGACCGCTACAACATTGATGTGGACCGGTACGTTCGATTCACAGTAAGTGATACGACGGGAAGCGCTCGAAACGTATCCGACCATTTCAATAGTACGAATCAAGTGGATTGTTTAATGCACTTATTAAGTTTGTGTCTGTTGTATGCTCTCGGTCTGAAAGAAAACACACGAAATCGTGGTCAGAGTATCATAACACCGGGAGGGGAGTTCCGAAATGGTCTGAAAGTTATTTAGAAGCTTCGTGATTTGGCAACGTTTTTCAACACTCCTCAAAGAATCACTAAACTCAAGCAGATGAAGAAGGCCCTTAGCCTTCCAGCTGTCAATATTGAAGTTGATTCGAAGACACGAGTTGGATACGCTGTAACGCTAATGCGTCGCAGTGTACTAAATCACTATGCCTTTGCTCAGTACTTTGAAGGATTTCCAAGGATGATTGAGACGGCTGTATTACCGAGATGGAAGGGCTGACTAACCAACTCGCACAGTTTAGTCTGGGCGAAGTGCAAAAGCAGGGCGTGGCAAGCTGTTACGTCCTACTTTTTCGCAAAATGTTGGTTTTTGCTGGTGAATCCACTACAGTTAATTGTTTAGTTCTCGATCGCCCTGGGCCAAAAGCAACTGAGCATTCGCAACGCCGAGCACCAAAGTCTATATCCGAGTTTTCTTGGGATGGCAAACGTTGTCGCGACCGACTTCGTGAGCAACTCGCTCTTCGGTTTCCAGTTGAGGATCTCAACGACATAAAAGCTTTACTTCTGGATCCGCGGATTAAAGGAAAAGCACATAGTATTGTCAGTGATTCATCAGTTCTTGCACAAGCCGAGACCGAACTTCAATTTGAGCATGCTCTCATTTATCAGAAATTGTTAGCAAGGCAAGCAGCAGACGAGGAGTGTAAGGGTGAGGAGCCTTTGCCGTCGGGGATTTCTCAAAGCAGCTCTGATCTCATTGACACTGCACTGGGTGCCTTACTAGAGATCGACGCCCCGGCTCAAAACGTGGAAATGTCTGATTTCCAGGCTGACCTATCCGCCCAAGCGATGAACGCGTGGAACGAATGGAAGAGCTTGAATGTCTCGTGGCCGTGTTCAACATCCCAAACAGGCAAGTACAATTTACTAGACTTGTATCGGAGCGTGGATATACAAGCATGGTTTAAAGAGTCTGGACAACTCCTGTTTCCTGGAATTGCCGTCCTAGCAAGGATTTATCTTGCTAAACCTCTGTCAACTGCAATTCAAGAGCGCTTCTTTAGCTTAAGTGGGTACGTTGTGAACGATTTGCGTACCCGTTTGGATGAGGACCGGGGAGATGCTTTGCCTGATGAAAGCAAACTGGAGAGAGTACCGGAGCTTGCAAAAGCGAACTGAGGTAGACAGCAAGTAGCGACTCATCTGAATATCACATTATTGATATGATATTGATACGTTACTGATACGCCAGCGTCAGCGTATCAGTATCATCGGATATTGGTTTCACCGCTTTTTAAACTGTATCAGGATCATAAGTATTGCCCAAAGTGCCGATGCTATTAACCCCTGATCGCAATGTCCGCCGCACGACGCAGTTACTAGAGGGCTATGCGCTCGTGCATCCTCCTCTGTCCAAATTTGCCGAGCTTGTGGTGTACCAAGAAGCTCAGGCGAGTCTGCGATACCTCGTGGAAGTGGAGACGGTACGTAGGTAAAAAGGTAATTGACTTAAGGTATCCTACGTCTGGAGAAGATCTTTGGTCTCCAGTCCCTTCTTGAAGGCCTTGACGACGCGGATATGAGCGCGGATCAACGCGAAGCTTTGTAGCCACAGCTGCTGCCCCCGTGCGGACGTTGCTTCACGTACCTGTTCGACATCAACTTCGCGACATAAAGCCATCCAACTGGGGGCGTTCTTGGTCGAGATGGAGCGTAACACGAGTCCGAGAGGCAGCGAGATGAAGCCCATTGCGATACAGGCGAGCCATTGATCGATTTCTAGCGGCGTACAGTTGAACCAGTCGCCCGTGAGCTGCACCATGACCACCTGCATAGCGATCTGAAGCACGCAGACGTAGAGGAACACGCGGTTCTTCGTGATTCCTTGGAAGATATTGAGCTCGTCGTGGATCTTGCGACAGTTGAGTTCATTGAACAGCTGCATCCACACGAAGGTGTTGAAGACGATCGTCATGTGCTTCGTGGAGTCGTTCTTGTGGTCTTCACCCAAGTCATTCAAGCGACCCGAACGAACGTTGAACCATTTCTCACCAGTGAATACAATAGCCAAGAGCAGAGCAAGCTGGAAGATCGACTGACCGAGGATATGCTTACTCATCTTCTTGGAGATAAGTGGCTGCGTCTTCGGGTATGGCTTACGCTCCAGTAAAGCCTGGGTGGGCTCTGCCGTTGCCAATTGCGAAAGACGCGAACGAGTCCAGGATCAAGTTAACCCACAACATCTGCACAGCGGAGAGCGGAGACTGCTCCAAGACCACAGCGCCGATGAACGCGAGCAGGACGGCGACCACGTTGACTGTCAATTGGAACTGCAGGAACTTGGAGATCGAGTCGTACACGTTGCGTCCCCACTTGATGGCGTTCACGATCGAGTTGAAATTGTCGTCCATGAGGATAATATCCGACGCGTCCTTGGCCACCGCAGTGCCGCTGATGCCCATCGCGAAGCCCACGTTCGCTTTCTTCAGTGCAGGAGCATCGTTCGTGCCGTCACCAGTCACAGCAACAACTTGAGGCCCGTGCGGCATCAAGCTGCTTTGCATCAAGCCTGTTACTAACGTATACTTGTCCTTTGGTGACGACCGTGCAAGAACTCGAAGCATGGGCCAGATCTGATCAAATTGCTCCTGAATGATGTTGCCCTGTGCGTCCAGAACTCTCGAGCGGAATGTCTGTCCGTCCATGACGAGAGATCCATCGCCTTGTGAGATAATACCGCACTTGCCAGCGATGGAGCGTGCAGTGGTAATGTTGTCTCCAGTCACCATACGAACCGTGATCCCTGCGCGCTTGCAGTGTTGAATGGCCCCAGGCACTTCCGGTCGTACCGGATCTTCGATACCGACAATCGCGATGCACGTCAAGTCCTTCTCCACATCTTCGTCAGCCCAGGTGTTGAGCTCTACAGCGGGGACGTCAAGGTCACGATAGGAAAGACACAACGTGCGGTATCCTTGTGACGCGTACTTGTCGATCACAGTTGAGCCAATCTCGCTCTTCCGAGCGGTACTCAGAGCTTCAATCGCTCCGTCCGTACGCTGCATCTGCTTACACAAGCCGAGAACGACTTCAGTTGCGCCTTTCGTGTACACTCGACACTTGGATTCTCCACGACGAACCACGACAGACATACGCTTCTTGGCACTGCTGAACGTCAGCATGTGGACGATCTCGTTGGTAGCGCGGATATCCGCGTACTCGACACCACCGTCGCGGATAAACTGGAGCAAAGCGCACTCTGTCTTGTTGCCAGTATGTTCCGGAAGTCCGTTCTCCACTTTAGGGGGTAAGATCTCAGCAGTCGAGTTAATAGCGACGCCGTGGCAGAGCGCTTCCTTCGTCTCGTCACTTACCGCGCCCTTACTGTCCGTAGCGGACGAGAACTCGGCGTCTCCGATCCAGATCTTCATGACTGTCATGCGGTTCGTTGTCAGTGTCCCCGTCTTGTCCGAACAGATCGTCGTGGCGCTACCCATAGTCTCACAGGCGTCGAGATGTCGGACGAGGTTGTTATCCACCAGCATCTTCTTCACAGAGTACGCTAGCGCAATTGTCACTGCAAGAGGTAGACCTTCTGGAATGGCTACAACTAGCACCGTGATGGCAATGATAAAGAAGTTGAGATAGTCACTGATGTAGCCATTCTTCCACGGCTTATCATCAACTGCGAACTTGTCGATGGAGAAGCGAATCGCCATGATCACAAACACCAACAACGCCACAATGGTACCGAGCTTACCGATGAAGATAGTGAGGTTGTAGAGCTTCCCTTCAAGCGGAGACTGCGAGTCCTCGACACCGTCAAACCCGTCCTTGTCGTCTTCAGCTGGCACCTTTGGGGTGTCCATTTCGACGTAGATCTCGTCGGTTTCCTGACGTCCATCCGCACTGTTCTTGTTCTTGTCTTCTTTGGGTGTTTTTTTGCTTGCTGTTCCGTTGATCAAGCTCTTAATGATCCCAGCCTGCGAGTTTTCACCCACACACACTACCAGCATTTTACTCAGCCCCTCCATTACCTTGGTACCTGACAACAAGAACGGATTCTCACGGTTCTTTGGGAGTAAATCGGACTCTCCAGTCATGGCACTTTCGTCCATTTTGAGTTCTTTCTCGTCAAATACCATGCCGTCCGCTGGAATGATATCACCCAGATCCACACGCACAATGTCACCTACTAACAGATTCCACTTGCCCACTTCAGTGGGTGCTCCATTGCGAATTACTTTGATCTTCTCGTCCTCTTTTACAGCGTTGAGAGAACGGAACTGTTGTTCTTTTTGATAGTCGTTCACGGCAGTCACAAGAGTGACCACGACGACAGCCAAGATGATACACGCTCCTTCGACCCATCCAGTCTCTTTGTGGTCTCCGACAGTGGAGGACAGGACGATAGAGAAGATACCAGAGATGGTCAAGATAATGATAGTGATGTCTTGGAACGCATCCCACATGAGCGCAAAGAAACTCTTGGCTTTAGGTGGAGGGATGTAGTTCCTACCGAAAGAATCTTCTCGTCTGCGTAGATCGTCGGCATCGTTTGCGTCGAGTCCTTGTCGGAGATCAACGTGGAGAGCAGTAGCGACGCCGTCCAGTCCACCGACACTTTCGAGCTGTTCGCCTACTTTCTCGTGTGCAGTCTCTACGAGACGGATGAGATCACCAGTCACCAGTGTGAACGCCATTGCGATTCCGCCAGTCGAACTGGAATTAGACAATGTGCGGCGGTTGTGAGCTTGCTAGGTCAACCGCAAGTTCCAAAATGAGCGACACCGGCTAGTAAAGAAACATGTTCAACGATCACTGCTATTCCTGGCCAGATATGCTGCTGCCGGTTAGTTACGCTGGGTACGATCGAATCTGACTAGCAATGTGATGGAGAGAAAGATACGCGGAGTAAATTATCAGTTTTCGAGGATATGCTAGCTCTCTTAATTGCCCCCGTTGGATTTGAGCTAAGTGCAGTCAAATGGGTAACATCATGCCCCTTAAGAAAGAAACCTACGTCTGCCTGTCTGATCGTCGCACCAGCCTTGTCGAAGATTCACTGAGTATACACTTTAAAGACACTGCGAGCTTTTAGGGATCAGTTACGTCCGGCATGGGTGGTGCAGACGACGATCTGGCGTAAGGTTGTGAAGAGCCCCGCGCCACTCAAGCAGTAACCACATTTTTGCTCTATCAGAGATTGGTTTTCGACTAAACGGCGGAGACACGTTTGCACGGGCTCGACATTTCCCGTAGTAAGAAAAAAAAAACTTGCCGATGTTACATCCCAAAAACTTAGAAGCAATGAGAGCCCGTCGATTGAATCTCGAGTTTTCGATGGTCAGTTTTAGATCTACGGTGGGTTCTTATCGACAGATATGTAGATTCGCTCTAATTGGTTTATCAAGTCCATTTGCATCAGAGTCAACAAGAAGGAATCTTACTATCACGGAGGTTCCGAAGTTGTGCTCAGTAGTGTTGCGATGGTACAAAGTGCTTTTATGGTTGTATCTCTTGGCAGTGACATGAGGTGGTAAGCTCAAATCAGTTTAAAGAAACGTGGGAGGGTGTCAACTCCACTCACTTCAGAATTTGACTTCGCGCAGCAAAATCAACAAGAAAAATCCAACAACAATGACCGAGTACGGCAAACTGCAGACCCCGACTGTCGATGATCGTCTTAGCACCGTCAGCAAGGACCCCCACGAAGACGATGTCGAAGAAGAGTCTTACGATACGAAATCCCCAGCAGAGAGAATCGCGTGGGGTTTTTTCTACACGATCGCTTCTCTTGCAGCTCTTTACTTCTTCATGGTGGCTGTCAAGTTCATCGGAGACGGGTTCACCCTCGCGTTGGGTTGTGACACAAAGGGTGCCTTCGACTTCGCCAACAACCCCGTAGCTGGTCTCATGATCGGTACCGTGGCTACAGCACTGCTCCATAGTTCGGGTACTGTTACATCCATCGTCGTGGCGTTGGTTGGTTCCGGTGGTATGACTATTCGCCAGGGTGTATATGTGATCATGGGCGCTAATGTCGGCACTTGTGTGACTTGTATCATGGTGGCGTTCGGTCAAGTGGGTGACCGTACTCGTTTCCAACGAGCCATGGCTGCTGCTACAGTACACGACATGTACAATATCTGGTCGGTGTTTGTGATGTTTCCCATCGAAGTGATCTTCCATCCTTTGGAGAAAATGTCCGTGGCAATGTCGAACGCCAAGACCAGTAGTGGAGCATTCAACAGTCCCGTGGATGCCATTGTAAACCCGTTGACTCAGAAGCTTCTTTCGGTCGACAAAAAGGCCATTTACAGAGTCGCAACCGGAGAGACCATGTGTACGGAAGACCAGTCGTTCGTCAAGAGTGGTGCTTTCCACAATTCCAGCTTGAGTGACGGTAGTATCGGTGCTATCACTGTCATTATCGGCTTCTGCATTCTGGTATGTGCACTATTGACGCTGGTGAAAATGTTGGCCAAAGTGTTTATGGGTCCAACGAAAAAACTCATCTCCAAGTTACTCAACTACAACGGATACATCAACATCTTTGTCGGTACTTTGATCACATTTGCCGTCCATTCGTCGACTGTTGTCACCTCTACTCTCACTCCGATGGCAGGTTTGGGTGTCGTGACACTGGAACAAGTGTATCCATTGGTGATCGGAGCCAACCTGGGCACGACTGGGACTGCGTTGCTAGCCTCTCTCGTGACTGGGAAGGCCGACTCTGTGGCTATTGCTCTCGTGCATTTCTGGTTTAACGTGATCGGGATCTTCCTGTTCTACCCCATCCCGGTCACACGGAAGCCGATCCTCGGCTGGGCACGCTCGCTGGCGTTTTTCAGTGCGTCGTGGCCTCTAACTGCGGTTATCTTCCTCATTATACTCTTTCTGGTAGCACCGGGAATTCTGTTGGGCTTGGTGTACATGTGCACCGCTGACAATGTTGTAGCTCAAGTGTTTGGATGGATCGTTGCAGCTGTCGTTCTGGTCGCCTTGGCTGGTTTTCTCCTGTGGTACAAGAAGAAAGGTGGTCGTGAATTGTGGCTCAACTTTTTAGAAAAGAAGCGATTAGAACGTGAAGGCAGCGACGAGCACATTGACGCAAACCACACCGAAACGGTGTAAGACGCTAACGGCATCTTCAATTCTTCATGACTTTGTTTTCTTTTTGCTCGTTCACTTTGCGCTCATAATAATTTTTTTTTATTGAAGTAAACAAATACAGACCAAAAGTGCTGTTATTTTTACACAGATAATGAGTTCTTACGTGTTTTTATCTAGTCTATACGAGCCTCTCTTGCTGGGGTGTGATGTACCACATTATTAGCGTTATAACCGCTCAAACTACCAGAACGAAAAGCACGAATATCCACATCGTTGAATCCTACAAAACGTAGAGTTACGTTGTTAAAAGAGATAGATAAGCTGCGTCCATAATGTAGTTCGTACCGAGTCGTCGTAACTCTGCATCAATGACGTCAAAGTGAGGAATCGCCTTCTCCAACCCCTCAGTATCCAGTTCTACGCACAAATTAAATTATTTAAACCACGAAGCGAACAGCACTTAAAACCGCTTTTGCTTACCAACCGCAGCCTTGTTGCCTGCAAGAAATCGCACGCGCATGCTCATTTGAGGCTCCAGATGAACTAATTCACGTACGAACTCCTCCGCCTTCTCCACCCGATGCAAGTGTTGCTAATAAAAATCGTGCTTATTAGTTGTCACATTCCATAAAATTTCTCAAACTTTATGATTCCTCTCACCTGTGTCGCTTCAACGCCAAACTGCAGTCTCGACCTCAAACATGGTGACGCTGCTGCATTCCAGTTCGGAAGTCCCAAATACTTGGCCACATCTCGCACCTCCTGCTTGGTCAAACCGCTAAGCGGACTCACTACCTCGAACTCGGTAGCTGCCACCAGTCCTACACAAAATATTAGTTTTGAGAGTACAAATGTAATAATGAAAAAAACTAGAAACGTACCAACTCTGGTAAGATCCAGCTGATCATCAGCATTCGTGCCGTTATATAGCACAGGCTTAATCTCTTCTCCATGTTGTTGCATTTCCTGCCACGCAAACTCTGCCACTTGATTCAATGTCGAGTACAGCGTCGTCTTGCAATAATAGCAACTTTTGCCCTGATTGGCGACATATCCCTCGAGTTTGGCTTCATCCGTGTGGCATTCCCACAATGGGACTCCAATATGGGACGCGACTTCTCTGGCTTGTCGAAGCTGCACGGAGGACAACGCAGCGGATCTCCCAATACACGCAGCGCCTGTATCTGGGAAGACTTGGAACACCAACGCAGCAGCTAGCGACGAGTCCACACCGCCTGAAAACGCCACCACGTTGTTGATCGGCAGTAATTTACTCGACAAATTAGAGATCTGCGCTCCTCTAGAAGCCACGATCTGAAGCAGACGATCAACTTTTGTCGCGAGCATTGCTCCGGGTTTAACGTCGAGGCAGCGTGTCCGATAATGGAGACCTTCCACATGAAATAGGTAAACTTGATGAGTGATTGAATAAGCTTTTACACAGGTTTAAATAAGCTGTTTGAAAGGAGCCTCCAACACTTTATATTGTTTCCTGTGGAATTATATAGTTTAATATTCACCATGTCTGCGTTCGGCTATCTACTTGACCGCAGCGTGGGGCTGCCAAGTCGCGCCTATCGCGACAGCTTCTACACCCGTCAGACTGCTACCTTACTGCAGCACGCGCCGTCGACCAGCAACTTCATCTTCCGACAAGGGATGCGTGTCTGGAGCTTCTCTTTGGACCCAGCGGAGCAGCGTTTCCTGCTGGTTGGTACTTCCCAGTCCCAACTTTTGGTATTTGACCTGCACACACTAGACGAAGCCGACGCCACCTGTAACTCTACGTACACCACGACCAACACTCTTGATCCCATTTGCGCTGTTGGAGCCAAAACGGAGAGTGCCCAAACCTTACAATTTGGTATTTCGATGGTCGACTGGTACCCTGTTGACGGTGGGTTGTGCATTTCCAGCTCGCTGGACGAACATGTGAAAGTTTGGGATTTCGAGACTTTTTCTTGTGTCAGTACGTTACATTTACGTAGTAAAATATTCAGTGCAAAGTTCTCCCCCGTGGGTACAACACACACGTTGATCGCTGCTGCGACTTCACGAGGAGAAGTGCGACTGGTGGATATGGAAAGTGGCGCCACCGCGCACAGTTTATTAGGCCATAAAGACGAAATTTGGTCGCTGGACTGGTCTCCAGCAAGTGAATTTTTACTTGCCACAGGCTCAAGAGATGGCGAGATTCGGCTCTGGGATATCCGACGATCAGGAGCGACGGCGTGTTTATTGTGTTTAAACCACGAAGGAAAGGCCACTGTACCGGGTAGATCGAGTTTATATACTAATGTGAAAAGAGAAAACCCCATGTCATTGTCGGCTGCTGCTACAGCCAGAAAACGACAGCGTGTGGGTGGAGCGTCAGAGGCTCAAGCAAGAGACCGACAACGAGTGAGGTCCAGAGTGGATGACCATCATTCGAGACTACACGCCTCGACATATCGAGAGAATAGGAATGATCCTCATGCTGCAGCGACGATGTCACTTGCTATTGCTCATTATGCAGGGGTGACGAGCTTGTCGTATACCCCTGATGGGAGATTTCTACTGAGTAAAGGTATGGACGACAAGCTTCGATTATGGAACGCGACGTCGGGGGAACATCAGTTTATGAATTATACAGGAGTGCGGAGAACGCAACCTCGAGCTGCGAGAAATGTACAAATGGCTGTAGTTCAAGAAGGTGACGCCTGGGAGAGTACGACGGTATTTGTTCCCAATGGGTCGGAAGGAGAGTTATGCTCGTATCGCGTTTTTGGAGATAATGGTGCACCGCTAGGGTCTGTCACTGCCCACTATCAACAAATAACTGCTTGTCTGTATCGAAAAACTACTCGTGAAGTCTACTCAGCAGGTGAAGATGGACTCATCATGAAATGGAAACCTCCACCTGTTGAGTTGAATCCCGACTCTGTCGACGAGGAACATGTCGATTTTAGAGGACACAATGGCGACGTGGAAGCGATTACCGGTGCTACTGCTGGCGATGAAGATACGTGGAGTGAAGACGAAGAAGACGCAGGAACGGGTCATGAATTTATTCCACCAATTCTACGGGATGAATTCTAGTATTGTTGTATATAAAAATTGTACAAATATTTTCATAGTTTTTTTTTACATCTAAATATATTCGTATTCTTTCGATATAACGATTGCGATGTCAGCAGGAGCACCGCCAGGTAGTGGGTCGTTGTTGAGTGCCACCGATTTCTTCGGTAAGACGGATGTGGGTGGCTTGGATAAATTCAAGACCATAGCCTTTCGTGCTCTTCACGAACAGAAACTCGAGGAGGAGCTTCAACAAACCAAGCAAGAGAACGAACGTCTTAAAGATGCTCACACTCGAGTAACACGCGACTTGGAAGATCTCCAAGTATCGTTTGCAGCCAATATCGAAGATCGTGAGCGCGTACTTGCCTTCAAGTCGAAGCGGATCGATGAACTTCATAACAAACTACGCGAGTATGAAACCATCAACGCCTCGTTGCTACAAACAATTAACGGAGGTGTAGAAGGAGACACTAGTGCTTCTCAAAGCATCGCTAACCCGACTACCAACGCTACTACTGAGCCGGTGGGAACAGAACCGGAGACTCGTGCTAGAATGATGACGTTGATTAACGCAGGAAAGCCGCTCTTCCATGCGCTGGACACGTGTAAGGAACAAGAGTACAAACAACTCTATGAAGACTCCCAACGTCACTGCGAGCAACTGACACAAACTGCTCTTGAAAACGAAGCTGCAATGCGAGAGACTCGACTAGTAAAATTCAACAAGCAAGACAGCGACATCCAGATCGAGCAACTTCAAGCTCAACTCGCGACAATGGCATTAGAAAAAGACCAACTAGAACATCATCTGGAGCGTAAGTTGATCCTAGAAAACGACCGACTACGTCGTGAGAAAGAAGCCGAACTCCAAGCTTTCCACGACGCTATGCGCACACAAATGCGAATGCAGTTGGACGTGACCACGCAGCGAACTGTCGAGGAGAACGAGAGAGTGCAGCTCGAACTGCGTTATCAGAGCTCGCAACTGGAGAAGATGATGAAGCAGAGCGACGAACTTCGCGCCGAGAATAAACGTACGAAACACGAAATGCACGTGTTTGAAGAAATGAACGCGGGACTTAGTAAGAAGCTCAAATTTTACGAGCAACTTTTCGCGAAGATGCAGCAGAAGGACGAGAGATCAAGACAAGTCGATGGTCAGCCACGGACTGCGAAGACACCGGTGGACCCCCCTACGTCGCGACGAATACCTCGAAAGCCTCCGCTACCTGCGTTGTCTACAGTCAACTGTGCTAAGCCAACGTCTTCAGAAGCTTCGTCGATGGACATCATGGGATCTCCTCGTGGCTCCTACTTCTCACCTGACGTTGACCGTATTCAAACCGGTAAATATCCAGAGTTTGAATCTGATCCGAACGATCCGCAAACTCCGTATCAGCTCAACGCCGTCACAGATGTTCTTGAAAAACATCTACAAAGTCGTGAGTTTACTAAGAAACAAATGGTGGCTGTGCTACGGTATCATCATGACCAGTATCAACGTCGAGAAAGCGTAAGTATTTTTGGCTTCTATGGCATGGACTCTACTGAGTTTTGTATGATCAGCCGAAGGTTGTTCGAGATACCGCAAGACTTGGAACTACGCCAGTGTTCAAAAAGAAGCTCATGCTCTCTAAGGCATGCTACTTACCGTCAAGCTATGGACGTAGGATCAGGGAACCATCGGTGCGTGCTGCTTGGCATTAAAAAATAATCTCGATAGTATTAAAGATAACTCGTTTGTTGCTACGGTGATGCAGATGACTTTGGATACTTTGATCAAGCAAAATTCATCTTCCAATAATTCAGAGAACAACTCGATCGTTAACGACGAGCAACGGCAAATTCTTCATAACTTGTTACTCCCCGAACTGTCCAAGGAAAAGAGAAAAGACAAGCCTGCTTCATCGTACACGTTTGGTCGAGATCCCTCGGAAATGTGGAAGACATCTGCCTCACGACCGCATGGTCAACTGCAACATCATGACTTACCTGCCACTGCACGATTTTGATTTAATTTTTCATGGAATCAAGCCTAACACAATAAAATTTAAGCCTTTGTACCATAAAAAATATTAAGAAATGATATCAGCCGAATTCTGCACGATGTAGGACCCGTACAGCAGTACTAGGGTTCTTTTGATTGATTCGACTAGTCTGTTGTAGCCCGCTAAGTGTATAATGGCATCACGCCGCCCTGTGGATTCATTATCGTTATCCGAGGCTGCTTGCATCATCTCGAAGGCTTCCGGCAAAGGTGATCCAAGCTCGTGCCTTTCCAATTAGGTCAATGATTGCATTGGTTTGGCGTATTTGGAGCGACACACCAGCAGACCTTGACGTTCAAATCTCCAGCACGTGGCGGGTTGTAGACTCTTCCAAGACAATGTTACCAGCTAGTGACAGTTTTGTCTTGAATTTCATCTTGTCTTGGGAGGGCCCATACACGCACCCCCCAAGCACTTAATACTGCCCCTCTGTAGCATTTCGAATCGTCACTAAATAATCTTCTGTCAGCTGGAATTAAACACAAATTCTTGAAACTATATCCCCATCTGGGTTCGTCAGAATTAAATGTGTCTCCATAGGCAGCTCGGCTGGATTGAAATCGAGAAGCGCAGTGGGAGCATCATAAACGGACTGGGGAATACCTGTATTTATGTACACAAGAGGTGGCCTGATAGCACGCCGCGTCCTACTCCGGTAGTCGCTTATTTTTGCCATAACTTTCGTCAATACTTTTGTCTCGACATCCTCGGCGCTGCCATGCAAACGATTCATAATTTCGGCAATTTCAGACATCCCATTTTAGTAGCTTCAGCACCTGGAAACAGCGCTCAGTAGAATTGCAATGTGACGTCTCCAGGCTGTTGGTTCCATCGATTGATCCATAAATCATTGTCAGAATCTCGGCAATATATTTGCTCGTCTTGCCCATACCAATCAGCTGCATAACGCTCCTTTGCTTTTTTTTTGTCTTGGAGAAACGGAGCAGTGATGTCCAAGGCATACAGCTTTAAGACCACCCATTGGTTTTCTACTGTAGACCCCCATGAACAGGCGACCATTGTTTTGCGTAGGTGTAGATTTAATAGTCCCATAACAACACCGTCATCATTTCTTTTATACGACAGGAAAACAACGTGTCCCGACTCAGACAGCTTCGTTTCAAACTCCGTTGCAGCATGCAGGTCCATCCAGCGAGTAGAAGTCCCATTAGCTTTGAGCTGCAGTACAAGCTCTTGTTTTTTATGCTCCGAATAACGACCATACCATTCGCCATAGAATGGATTTCGCAGAACCCCGCTGAGTTCTCGTCAGTGTGCCCGCTATATCCGGTAGCAAGAACGAGAGGGGTATCGAGTGGTAAGCTTGATGTCGAGATGCGGAAGATTAACCATCTCTCTTCATTGGTTTTCATTCAAGAGAAAAAATCGAAGTTGTGATAAAAAATTATCTTGCGACAGTTTGTCATTTTCCCTTTGGATTTGCTGGCTTGCAAGATCGGTTAGATTGATGAGCTGCTTTCCCAGTGTTCGCAACGTGGACAGATGAGGAAAGCAGACCGACGAGTCGAATTTCGAACCAAAACATTTTTGCTTGATTTTTTATTTTTCGATGGTTCTAATACAAACAAGACAACATACTCATTTTATTAAATTAACTTAGATTATTCATTTTCCTTTGCTGTGGTTTTGTTCAGCTTCTGTTGTGCAATTGATGCAGTGCTGTACTGCTGGCTAATTCCAAGGACGCGTTCAGTCTTCTCCGACTCGAAAACAAGTCTCCCACTAGGAGACGTCTTAGGCTTTAATTGGTAGGATATGCGAAAATGCAGCGTCACTTGTCTTAAGCGTTTTAAATCCTCAATAAGCCATCCGGTGAGCTAAATAGCTCAACAAAGCCATCTCAATCCTTCAACGCCTGATTTTCATAGCTATTCATCCTGAATATGAATCTTATGTGCTACACGGAGGCAACTCCTGTTTTAATGAATGATGTCAGCTAAAATGCGGACCAAGGTCGATAACTCTCGTGGTCACATAAATGAAAACTCGACAACTGATTGAGAGATCTCTCGAACATTTCGCCAACGAGTTGTTACCACTCAAAACTCGTCTGATTGTAATCACGTTATTTAGTACTTCGTAGTAATAGTTTGTCTCACAAGCGGAATCGTTGATTCTGCACGAGTTATTAGCCCTTTGTTAGCACTAGCTACAATATTTATTTGCTGCCGCGTCAGGAAACACATTTCTTTTTTGTCATAAAGCGCTTTGTTTTTCTTGATTCAAAAAGAGTCTAGCTTCATGATACAAATAATAAGAAATATGAGATGAATAATTCCACTAAAGTAGTCATCCATGGTATCAGTGCTTTCTGTATTTTTCTCGACGAAATTGATATCTCTCAATCCCTTGTCGATTTTATTTATGTAATTGAGGAGTTGTCTCTGATGAGACGGGTGTCAGCTTTATTCAATGACGTAATAGTACACTAACTTCAACTTGTTGTTGTCACTACGAGCGATTCTCAGACTTACTCATGAAAGCAGCTGGCAAAAATGATTGATTGAGCCTGACACAAGCAAAACAATTCCATTGAACCGCTCAGCCAGTGCACATTCCGAAAACAGCTCTGAAGTCATCACTTGGGTACAGCAAGAATGGACGGTCTCCGTGATGTCGAGCTTTTAGAGCTCCCTTGTAACACTCCTATTGTTATGATGACCATTGCTGGAGACACCCTGACGGCACAATCTGTCTTTGTTAAGCTTATTGGCTCATCGGATGGTTTCGTGACGATTCAAAACGCCAACAACAAATGGCAGCGCCTTGCACATGGTGAATTGGGAAGTTGCCAGTTCGCTCATCCAAGCGAAGCGGTTAATCTCAAACCCAAGATAGCTCCAAGTGGGGGGCTTGTCTTCGAATCCGAGTATGGTGTCCTTGGCATTTATTGGGAAAATCGGTTAAAGGTGTTAAGGTGCCGCGGTCGTTACTGGCAAGACACCCAAGCGTGGGTGCTGTTACAGCAATATCAACTGGGCGCGAGCGATGCCAAATCTACCGCACAGCTAAAGCTGAACGAATCCGCTGTAAATGAGAATGATTTAGCTGGTCGAGTGCAATTGGTAATGCAATCTGTCGAATTGGGTAAAACGTTGGAGGAACTAAAGGAGATTCTGGAACTGGTGTATGGTACGGAGCCTCCAATGGGGAGCCATATAATGACGTCTGTGATGCTTCGGGAGCGTCGCAAACTGATTTTGAAATTGCTGGAGGCTGGTTTGTCTACGGAAGAAGCTGGGGGTGTTTTTAAGCTTGTGTATGGAACAAGCCCTTCGATCATGAAGGCAGATGCATACAGCGAAGCTGGCACCCATGGCTCAGAGTATGTAGCCGTTCCTCTAGCGACAGCAGAAAAATTAACGAAATGAGTAAGTGAAGAGGTTTAGCGGCTCGTGCTAAGATTTAGCCAAACCATCTAATAGCTCAAACATTGGACTTGCATTTAACGTGGAACAAAATTGAAAATAGGATGTTCATGAAACCTTATACCAGGAATACCTTTAGCCCTCACCGAATTAATTTCACGGTACTGCGTAGTTCGCTTTTCGACATTTTTAATACCAAAGCCATTTAAATACACTCTAGAAGTGTTGCTTTGGCCTGGGAGGACAACTCATCTCAACCTGTTGAACATCATTATTTTGTATTGAGATTTAGAGTGGGGGTGCCTAGGTCGACCACAAAGGTCTCGTGGAGGGTTGCGCGTCAAGGGTGGGGAGTCCGTTAAAGACGATGTCGGACGCCGTTTCTAAGCTCAGCCGAATTTTATTATAACAAACAAAATTTATGAAGTTCCTGTAGCGCTGTACTTGACCTCGCCTGACGTCGGCAGGCTTTTGGTGCATTTTGAATGGTTTCGCTTTAATAGTTGTGTTAGGCTCTCAATTCTTGTAAACTCCAAAGAGTTATTAGATTTGGTTGGCCCTTTTAGAGCTCTGAGCAGATGGTATATTAAAATGATGCAAGAGCTGAGGACCAATAGACAGCTTAAATAACGACGAAAATCAGAGCTACTGCTCAAGGAGCATTTTATACTCGCTCTGAAGGCAATCTTGTACGCAGCAATGTTCGTTGATCTGTAATTAAAAAATCTTAAGTAAATAACTAGATCCGCGTTTTACACAGAGAAACTGTTTTGCTTTATAATGGTAGAGCCATGACTCCCGATACCTCAAACTCTGTTCAGACCAAGTGAGCTCTGAAAATCAATCACATTAAACTTATGCCAAGAAGGTTGAAGCTACCGTTTTTATATATTCAAACTATTATTTAAAGTGGGTCACGCGACAAACGGTAGTTGCTATCTCAGTAAAACATATCGGAAACGAGATCGTCTTCGACTAAGCTGGAAATTCATGCTCCAGTTTATTTTTCACGTAGCATTTTTTTACTGCCCGCCTAGTGTAAAACATTGTTCTACCACAGCCTCGTAGTGGCGCGCAAATCCTGAAGTGAATAGAGCTAGTAAGAAGAAAAAAACACTGTCGAAACGCCATTGGAGTGTATTTTCATGGGCTCCGTTATTAAAAAATCGTGCCCTGCACGAAGAAGCTCTGGAATTTCAAATTCGAGGAAGGGACTACAGTACATGCATCTACTGTACCAAACAAGTGAAAATAACGTTTTAATTGAATT